GTTGAAATAATAATAAACGAGAAAGTACACTCAATTGGAAGGATTGCTTAATGTTAATTTTAAGTATGGGCGCACTATCCAGGTCATTAAAAAACACAGCGGCGCCTTACTGATTGGCTTTTATGATGGGGTCTTTTGGCAGAAGCCCCGAATATCGTGGTTGTTGTCAATGGTCTCGTCATTAATCTGGACCCCAATGGGCTAGTGCGGATACAAAGACAAGATCCTTTACTGTGGAAGAATGAAGCTACTTTGTTGGGTAAGAGAACTTCTCAAGACAAGAAGGAACTGGAACAACTGGAATGTTCCCATAGCCTGATTTCGAACTGATCCGGCGTATCACGGAAGTGTTACGATTCGAATGTCGTTAAGCCTATGACACTTTGTGACTTGAGAAGAAAACTTATCAAGCGTCACAAGATGGCGCACACAGGAGACTAGAAAACGCTAACGCGCTTCATCAAATGGCCCGGTGGCATGAGTGCCATCTACCCAGTGAAACTTGGTGTAAACCTAGCGGGGGCCAACTGATGAAGAGAAATAAATCTCGATAAACTCACCCCATGAAGATTATCCTTGCTACAGAAACCGGACCACTACGGTATATTGAGGTCACAAGGCTCTCCTCATGATAACTGGTGAAACTAGTTATGTTGTGATAGAGATATAACCCTTTTCCTGTTGGATCGATGGGGCAGCCGTGCCGACCCAACGGGTAACTACAGTCAGCGGATCAGCAACGCGTCACACTCTGGCAAATTGCAGGGATCCGGTGATAATGTTAACGAAACAAGGGTAATGCTTGAAAGTTGAAGAATTCAGCAGTTGCCCGAAGCCGTTAAAGACGGAAATCAACAAAGAACATAAGAAGGAATGGCCAGTGGCCAAAAGAGATAATAGGGAGCTGTACTCGCCGATAACGGTGTTACACACTGCTTCATTCTAGTTCACACCAGGCAAGCTCCTATTCGCACAGCTATGCGGTGGACGCCCATGACACCCAGCAAGTCAGGAAATCTGGTTGTGACCGGCCTGCATTCCCTACCTACTCTCCCCCATCACTTTCATTTGTGAGTGCTTTGCCGCTAACTCACAATCTACGAGGGGGTATTTCTACTCATTCGACTCTGCACCATTTACTACCATATCCGATGTTTACGATCTTTTAACTGACATCCCTCATTTTGATTACTCACAAGTTCAAAGACAAGATAACTCAAAACAGGAAGACAGCTTGAATGTGAGTTTATAACCGCCTCCACGGCGCGAATCTGTTTTGAAAGCCGAATGCCACAATGGTGAAATTGAAGCTTAACCTCTCTCAAGTGTTTGTAGCTTAGGGAAAATTCTCTTCTGCCATGGAAACCTTGCAGCTATCTTTTCACAAAATAAGGTGATCCCATCTCGTCTCCAGACAAAGCAGTCCAACTGCTCACCCAAACTGCATGAGTGTATACTAATGGAGGCCCCTTCAGTACAGTCAGGACTCATGGTTACGCCCATCCACGCACGTCAAAATTTGGCCTCGAGACCAGCGAAACTAACCGGTTTTCTCCCCGCGACATCCATGTCAACCTGTTGCACCGTGTGGCACGCAATCTAAAATACCAAAAGTAATCCTCCGATGCCCTCGCATTACCGCACAGTTTTGTCAGACCCATAACTTGCGTCACAACTTTTCGTCAATCTGAAGGCGTGCGACCGTTGAGTTCGTCTATAAAGGAAGCAGTTATGTCGCTTTCAATGACCGCCCAATCAAACTAGCGCAATGAGCCCTGCAATTTGTTTGAGGAACCTAAGAAGAGAGCGAGCCTGTTTTACCCCCTCAAGTAACCTTTCAATTAACATGATCCTATTTCATCTAGTGCCTGGCTGGCTGACCTAAACAGCTGATGCCATTATATACATATATATATATATATACTCA